GTGTATTATCAATTAACTTTAATGTAAAATTTTATTAATAATTATTAATATAAAATTCAATTTTTATATTTATTGAATTGTTAAATTATTTCAAACAATGAAAATTTGATGGTTTTGAAATGAAACAAATCTTCTAAATATATTTTGTATCGATGTAGTTTATATAAAATTGATAAATTGACTTCATTTTGAAATAATAAACATCAATGATAATCATACAATCGTATTTGTGTGGCGTCCTCTATGTTATATTTCACGAATCACAAAATCATTATTATTGTGAAAATATAAAAATTTTAAATGTAATGTAAATATTAATAATATAAATGTAAATGATAATGTAAATATTACATGAGACGTATCAATTGTATTAATATATAAATTGAATACTAAATTATATTGAATTATCTGATTTTAAATTGAAACTGATGATAAAAATTATTTAATTATGTATATATATTTTAAAATTTTATTTTAAAATATCTAATACACTTTTCATTAAATTAAATTCCAATAAATTAAAAATGTTTAAAATTTTAATAAATATATTTTTTATTTTTAAGTAATAGTTTTTATTTTTAAGTAATTTATAATTATCATATTTAAAGTAAATAATTAATCTTGATATAATTATAAATATAATTTAAAATTTATAAATTTTAAAATTTCATTAATGTTACTTTATATACATATATTATGGTTAAATATCGATAATTACCGACAAATGAAAACTCACAATTTACAGTATAAAGAGATATAAAATAGATTTGTGTATCCGTGGATCAATAATCTATCTATCTTCTGAAATACCGATCGCGCAAGAAATCAAAGATTTTGTATGCCCTCTATGATTTAATACGGTGAATTTAAAATTTTATTTGAATTAAATTTTTGTTTAAAATCATAAAACTTTTATATCGATTTTAACATAATAAAAGTTAGTAAATAACTTTTAAAATACAAATTATTTTTTAAAGCAAAAATAAAAATTATATGAATTGTTTTAATAAAATTAAAAAAAACATTTTTATATATTTTATATATTCGATATATATGATTCTGGCTATTCTCATAATCTATAATAAAAAAATAAAATGACATTTTAATCAATGAATGAAATTATTATAGTTATATAAACTATAATAATTTAAAAATTTTCATAATTGAAAAAATGGTGATATTTTGAATTTTGAACATTAATTTTTCAACTTTTTTGTAATTTAAAGCATATCAAAAAAAATATATGTATATATATATAAAAATTAATATTTCTTACGAACCATATGCTATATGCTATTAATGCCATAATTTTTTACTATAATTACATATATCATACTAATCAAAATATTATTTTACATTTTTTTTTTTGAAATAAAAAATAAAAAATGAAACTTTATTTAATGTTTTAGGATAAATACAATTTATATAATTTTTATTATTTTGTTTTACAAAAATAATTTATGTTATGTGGAATAATTAACAAATATAATAATAATAATTTAATAACAATTACAATTTAATAAATATGTATGTCAAAATCGATATAAAAAAGAATCAAAAAAAAAAAATAATAACAAAAAAGAATTACATTTTAGATCCGAATATTCTTTTAATAAATTTCGTAAAGAATAAACTTTGATAATAAAAAAATTGAAAATAGATGAAATAAAATTGAAAATAAAAATTGAGATTGTATTCTATAAATTTTAATTCTTTAGTTTACTTATTTTTTTCCTTAGCTATCTTTCTAGAAAACAATTTCTTTTTTTTAGAAACAAATCTAAAAAAACTTCTTGAATAATCATCGAAGTCTCTTCATTATATAGCCAATGTTTTTCAAATTCTTTATTGAAAATAAAAATTTCTTTCAAGAAATTCATAAAATTAATAAAATGTTAAATAATAAATTTTCTTCGCTTACTTACAAACAGTTATATATATGATTGATGTAAATTTATAAAATTTTAGAGAAATTTAATCTAAAATTTGTAACTTGTTAATTCACTTAATATATTAATTACATTATTTAATTTGATTTAATACACAAAAAAATACAATACATCATTCAACGTCCAAAGTAATCGATATTTCGATTTCCATTCTTGAATATTATTTTACCATAAAATAATATTTTGAAATACAATAAAGAGAAACATAATTAGCAAAATTAGCGTTTTCATATCTTTATAGTTCACAACTTCAAATGAAATTTATTATTCAGATTTATTTAAATTAATCCATTAGTAATTTCTTATTTGATTTCTTTCGTCTCAACTGACTAAGATCGATTTAAATTGCGTGGATTTCTTAAACATTGATCGATTTCATCTTTCGTGGAAGAAAGGTAATTCGTTAACACAACGGAAATTTCGCCGATTAAACGAGAAAGCAAAAGGGTACCGTGTGCGGCAAATAGCTTCGAGTGGCAACGGCAGCGATTTGATAAATAAAAGAGGACCATGTTGGAGCACGTGGCGCTAACTTTTAAAAGGAAGTAAAGGGGCATCTTAACCGAGGCATCTTGCCTGTTACTACCGGGGTTGAGTCCCTATCATTTCGTTCTTCTTAGGTAATAACCAAGAGAAGTACGAACAAGGGGAGAAACAAGCCGGTGCACGTCGCTTCTCTAATTAAAATTGTTACAATTTAATAAGCCTCGGAACTCGCCATTGGCGCGTCAGAATGAAAAATTATAAGAAGACTGTGTAAAAGGGAGAAGAAGAATAAAGTGATATTCGGATGTATGAAAGTTGAGAACCGAAAAGTTGATCAAGGAAAGAAATATTGAAAGAAAAGTAAATGAAAATTTGAAAAATGGATATGATAAAGGAGACAAAGATGAAGAAGATATTTTTTAAGAAAAAAACGAGAAGATAGATATTGCAGATTGCAAATGGACATAATAGAAAAGATAAAAATAAAAGTTTCGAAGAAAAGAGAAAAAAGGAATGAAGGATATTATAAATAAACACAATAATCATGAAAAAAATAAACCGATATAAAGAAGAGAAAAGAAGAGAATGATAAAAGTTGTAGATAGAAACGAAAGTCAAAGATAAGGCAAATTTTGAAGAAGAAAAAGGAAAATATTGTAAATAGATAGAATATAAAAGATAAAGGATAGATAGAAAAATAGTTTTTAAACAGGAAAAAAGAAGAATATAGGGAATATTGTATCTTAAAATTAAAATTAAGGAGATAAATAAACATAATGATTAAACAATATAACAATTTTGAGATTTAATATTTAAATGATTAGAGATTTTTTACAATTTTATAACAAAACTAAATTAAAAATCTGAAAATTTATTATCATCGTATTTAGCGAATTTAGAGTCAATTCAAGGTCTAGGGAGATGAATGCCAAGAATATTCTCAATCAAATCTCTGAGTGATTCGAGATTCAATCCAGCATCGATACACTTTTGTCTCATTTCCAAAAAGATATGCGAACTGTAGACGGTTTTGACGATGTGTTGGAAATCGTCCGAGCGAAGTCTC